ATACTTGTTAAGTAACTGCACCGCCGATTTACCGGGTATCTGTACTTTAATTGAGCATTTATTTTCCCAACGACTTTGTACTTTTACTCCCTACGGTTGAAATTACATTTGCACCCTTTTTACTTCGTCAAAATTGGCTCGTTTCTTTTTTTCAAGATCCATGGATGATGATGAGATTGCATTCAGAAAATAGTAATAATACTGTAAAATAGAAAGCAGCAAAGCCAGCCGCACTTGAGAACTTGACTGAGACCTGGCGAATTATAATGCGTAAAAAACAGAGACAGCAGCGTCATGGGGGAACATGCATATGACACAGCGAATTTGGAAAAGCATGTTATTCTCAATAAATGGCCTTTTTCACCAGAACCATTTGGTGTTGTTGGCTCCAAGAATGATGTGTTGGCGAAAACGTTGTGTATTGTGACTGCATAAAAATAAAAACCACCACTTTCGAATTAAGTCTCTAAGAGCCTCACATAAATTCCCAGCATTCCAAAAGTATCACTTTTATATGAAAATACATATACAATTTGTATTTATTGATTTATTTATGGGGTGACATCATAAAAGTTGAGCCAATACTGTCTTTCAGGGATGCAGACATGTAACATGAGTTTTTTTTTTCCTTCATGGTCGCAGCACTATATATTTTTATAATTTTGTATACAGAGAAGTTGTTTTGTTTGTTTGTTTTTTTTAACTCTCCGAGCTATCAAAACTGGTTTTGTATAAACAGACAGGAAATATTAATTTTTATTTTGGATGTGTACTATTGTATGTACTCTTTTTTTAACTTCAACTTAATTGCCGGAGATTATGCCGTTATTCTTCGTGAGTCTTATATTATACAAGTATCTGGACTTATACTTAAGTACAGAACATTCCCATTGCAAATAAATGAGGTATTTTCATGCTCCACTTTTCCACATCCAATATGGTGGCTAAGTCTACATTCGGTGTGGTGGTCAAGGCGGAATCTATTCAATGATGACTCTAGCAGCCTGGTTTTGTCGATTCGATAGTCTCGGGTATTCTCTAAACGTGTCTATTTCATTTTTATCTGTTCTTTTGTTGTTTATGTATAACTTGTATCGCTGGAAGAACCTTAAGCGTCACACCGTGTGTGCTACATTAGCTGCTCATACTGTAGCTGGGATTTGCCGATTTCTGAGGTCACAACATGTGGAGAAACACAGTCAAGTCCTTTCTACGCCGAACCAAAGGACTCCGCGTAAGAGCAAAAAATCGTGGATCATGCAGCAGAAGCGACAAGAAATGGGTCACTCCCACGGGATTTGACACCGGTTTAAAGACTTTCAACAGCCTCACCAAACAGAAAGAGCCTCTGATTCTTGCTCGAGAGGGAATCGCCACTTGGTACTGCACACGTTCAAATGACACGAGTCCTCGCTTTACGACGGCCCCGACATGCGCGGTTTTGACCTTTCCAAATGAGCGCAAGAACATGCGGCAGAGAAAGGTACACTCAGTTATTTAAAAAATCTAGGGGATTCCTCCTGCAGCGTTTATGAGAGTCGCGCCCACGACCCCGTGATGATAAAGCGGTTCAGATAATGGATGGTTGGATATTATCACTCCTGTTCTCAGCGGAAATTGTCTGCCCAGCACAGAATGGAAAACTTTGGCTTGTTGCGATTTGAAATTTTGAGGTGTTCCGTGGTAAACCGAGGACCCCCATGTACTTCTAGCAACGTGCGACTGAGACCCACAATCCCTCGCTCGTGTTTGTCCATCAGGTACAGCTGTGGGCCTACCGTGTACGACCACGCCCACTTGGGCCACGCATGGTAATAACGAGGACGCACAATGAGTTGTATCCGTTTTCAGTCTAATAGACGTTGGACCCTCTCTTCTCCTCAAGTTCTTACGTCAGGTTTGATGTGCTGCAGAGAATCTTGTCCAGGTTGTTTGGTATCACGGTCATCCACGCCATGGTCATCACCGACATTGATGACAAAATAATTCAAAGAGGTTGGCAGGTGAGACGCCCGTCGCTACCACGGCTGTATCGGTGAGCATTGTTGTCAGTCTGATATTATAAATATGTTTTTTGTCTCCTCTTCCTAGGACAACGTCTCACCCATCATCATAGCCAGAATGTATGAAGAAGAGTTTAAGAAGGATATGATATCACTGAAGGTGTGTGTGCGCGCCGGTCTTGGTGAGGTCCACAAGTATATGGACGATCCCAAAGGTTTTAGAAAATAAATGGACATACTGTAATCCATTCCAAAACATCAAAACTGTATAAAAATATCAGATTTTTTTTTATTTATATGAATGTGTGTTTAAAAAAAATCTAGGTGATTCCTCCTGCGGTGTATTTAAGAGTCACTGAAAACGTCCCGCAAATTGTGGCCTTCATTCAAAGGATCATCGAGAACGGGAATGCTTACGCCACAAAAGAAGGTGAGCGTTTTGGCCGCTCCGCATGATGTCATCGGATCGTCCCACACCAAATTGTCAAAATCCACAAACTCGTTTGACTTGCAGGTGACGTCTATTTTGATATCCAGTCCATTGGGGATCGATACGGCAAGTTTGGGATCGCTGGAGATTCTCAAGAAGGAGCTGGTAAGAAATGGATGGGATTTAGAAACAAAACAAAAAAACCTCGAATCGGACATAAGACCCACAAAATCTGTGATTATATGCCATATGCATTAACACTTGTCATCCACTTCATTACATAAGAGTTTGAAGAGTTGCATCTACTATTTTGGTGGCCGTATTTAGATGCATGAGAAGGCGAATATTACTCATACCTTTCATGTGGCGTAGTTCTCCACCACTTGGATCTAAGACCGCAATAATAAAATAGAGTGTGGGGAGAAAAAAAAAGACCAGGTGTGCCGTTTTGCTTGATGCTTGATTGTGGGCTCTTGTGTTCGCTTTTCCAGGTAGCGTCAGTAAAAAAGATGTGCGGGATTTTGCTCTGTGGAAGCGATCAAAACCTCAAGAACCCCACTGGGAATCTCCATGGGGCCCCGGAAGACCGGGTTGGCACATCGAATGTTCCACCGTTGCAAGGTTTGCATCCCCATCGTGGCCGTCTCTCTGCGCCGCATTTGGTCGCCTCTGCGATCTGTTGACGTCACCTCTGCGGTGGGTTCAGCTCCGTTTTTGGGAGTCAGCTGGACATCCACTCCGGTGGCGTGGACCTGGCCTTCCCTCACCATGAGAATGAGGTGGCACAGAGTGAAGCCTATCATCGGTGTGAGCAATGGGCCAACTACTTTCTCCACTCGGGTAAGTCATGTACCGAACGCAAACAGATCCTGAAAGTCGAGGGACAGTGATTCTTTCTCGCTGCTAAATATGACCGGCTTAAAGAGGAAACATCACAAAAATCCTTTTCTAATTTACGCCTTTAGGACATTTACACCTCAAAGGCAGTGCAGAGAAAATGTCCAAATCCCTGAAGAACTACATCACCATTAAGGTAGTTCACCTTTCAACAAGAATTTGAAGTTTCCTCCGACATTGTGCGCGAATGCTGAGACATGCTGTCACAATGTCAAAATGCCAAAGCTGCTTCGTACTTAACGTTTGTTTTTTTTTTCCCCTTCCACGCCTCATCAGGACTTCCTGCGGTCTCACACCGCCAATGAGTTCCGTATGTTCTGCCTCTTGACCAAATACAGATCAGGTAGAGACAGTTTTATTGAAAATTCTGCACCATCATCCTTTTGCAAATATTGAGCCCTGCTGTAAAAAGTGAAAATAAAGACGATGGAAATGTATAATTGGCACGATGGGGGGGGTACTTGCTGTACCATAGATGCTTTTCATTTGCGCAGCTGGTGCTAAATGACTGGCCTGTGGTGTCTGCAGCAATAGACTACAGTGACAGCAGCATGTCGGAGGCTCGGGGCTCCCTGGCAAGCATCTGCACCTACTACAATGACGCTCAGGCCTACGTCAAGGGTCAGCTGCAGTGTTTGCCGGTGCAGGACGTGTTACTCTGGGAGAGGTTTGATCCCGCACTTATGGTTATTTTCAGCCTATAGAGGAGCTTCCAAAGTGCTAACGAATGCCATGACATCATTTGCCGTCTCCCGGTTCCCTAATCGCCAGGTTGGCTCAGACGAAGGCAAATGTGATGGCGGCTCTGGCCGACGACTTCGACACCCCGAGAGCCATGAATGCCATCATGGATTTGGTGTACCAGGGAAACTGCCAGCTGCAGCCGGTTTCCACGGTAACAAGATCTGCCGCTTCATGCTTCCGCCGTAAAAATGCGCTGACGTGCCAGCCCATCAGCTTATTTGCATGACTATGTTGGACTAGGCTACGGGAGCGAGCAGAAGTCCAGCAGTGTTTGGAGCTATGGCGGCCTATATAAGAGACATCTTGGACGTGTTTGGTATTGACTCGTTGCATGACAAGGTCAGGATGCACATGGAACCACCAAATACCAATTATTATTTCACGCACTGTCATAAGTGCGTCTGACATTCACTGCTTCCACTAACAACGTGGCCACATAGAAAGAGGAGCTCGGTGTCTCTGGAGCCAAAAAAGCCTGAGGAATAATACCGTAAAGATTCGGTCTGGCTCGTTTTTTTCTTTATGCAGGATGCAGAGTCAATGAACCAATCGGGAAGCCTCCCGGCTGTTGTTGAGCAGCTGACTCAGTTCCGAAGCGAAGTCAGAGCGTTCGCTCTCACCCGTCAGTCAACAACTCCCGGGAAGCTCCAAGAAGCACTTTATCCAGAGCGGATCCCGCTCCTACAAGCGAGTGACCAACTGAGAAAGAACCTGGCACCTCTTGGCGTGCTTATAAAAGTGAGCATCGGAAGTATTTTGTGTTTGTGTTGCGGAACGTCAAACTGACATTCCGGTCTCGTGCTTTCAGGATCGAGGAGCCACCTCCACGTGGGAGCTCACAAAAAGAGCATCGGAAATCACAGACGGCATGAAACCGAGCATACGAAAAACTGGTCATGAATGAATGAATTCAAGGGGATTTGGAATTAGAGAAAGAAACCCGTTTAATTGATCCCACATCTTTTTTTTGAGCAGAGCAATGTCATTGCTGTCTCTATCACTTGCACAGATCGCTGAACAAAGATATATTATTTATAAAAAAATAATTTCCTGACAAATTCCAACACCACACCTGGTGATCTCTCACAACAGTGGTCAGGTTAATAAAATCCCACGTGAAGATGTGAGATCACTGTCGACGGTTATCCAGCAGCGACTTATATCCTGTCCGTCAGGCGGCATTGCGGTTCTCTGGTTTCAAATTGATCAGAGAATTACTGGCCTGCGCCAACTCCGTGATGGAAACTCGACCTCTTTGTTTGATGAACTGAGCCACCGCATCCATTTCGGCTTGAGTGATGGAGATAAACTTGCCCCTGTCGTCGATGACCCCTGGAAAAAAAAAAAAAACTTGAATCAATAGAGATAACAAGCGAAATGAATTTGTCTGTACGTTAAATATGTACAATAAATCTATGTGGCATTGTCTTCAAATCAATTCGGTATTAAAAGTGGATACAAAACCCTCACCAACGGGGGGATCTAAAGTTCGGCCTGTGGGCCATTTGAGACATCAGGTCACTGAAATGCCTTACGTCTTAGGCTACATTTTGTTCAGCAAGATGGAAACAAGACAAGTGGGTGTCAAAATGTCATTCATAAAAAAATCCCATTCCATATCTTGTCTTTGCAGCACATTCAATTCAATCTAGGTTGAATGTAATTTGCCAATCCTTTGCCGTATATATCAGGAGGAGCAGTAAAACTAGTGCTGTCAGGCGATTAAAAAAAATGTGCGATTAATTAGGTCTGTAATTAATCTATATTTAATCTCAACTAAAAATTAATGAGAAAACCCCTATTTTCATTTTAAATTCGTTACATCATTGAGGAAGATCAAAAGATAAAAGAAAAAGTGGCATTATAAAGTATTTTATTGTTTTTCAGCAGACTTGGACAGATGCAGTCCTAGCCATTTACTTTCTGCTGTATTTGGGACTAATCAAAGGCCTACCTGCAACCTTTAGCTAATCTACGGTCCATCTGAATACACTTTAATGCCAAAATAAAACATGATCTAATGAGGTGGATAAGTGACTCCAAAAATATTTCATTTATTCGTAACATAAATAAATTGTAGGTATGCAAGTTTTTGAAGCTAACGTCGGTGAAAGTGAGCGAAGACGATGCCACGCTTGACACAAACCAGTGAGGGAGCCTTCGGCGAGCAGGTCCTGCAGTCTGGCAATGGCATCCTTTGTTCTCATTCCAAAATGAGAGGCCAAGTCCTCCAGTAGAACAACTTTGGAGCTCTGGCGGAGACAGAAGGCAGGGTTCGATACAAACACACGTCACCTTGATTTTCTGGAAAATCAATCGCAGTGTGTGACCTCACCTCAATGTAATCAATGAATTCTTGGAGAAGGTTGCGGGACTGAAAGGCAAAACCAAATCACACGTGTTCATTATATGAACAGCCATCAAAAATGTTGAGGTTGAGGTCATATCAGAAGTGACCCGACCTGGTCTTCGGTGAGCTGCTCCTCCTCGCCCTGGTCTTCGACAACAAAGGAAGCTTTGAGCCGCAAGTACTCTTCCTCCTCCTGTTTCTCCTTCTCCTCTTTGGCTCGACGCTCATCCTCTTCCTGACGAAAGAGCAACGAACAGGTCCAATTTGTCAGCCCGCGCGCACAGATGAGTGAGAAAAAGGAAGTTTGGACAAACAAAAAAAGAAACCTGTTGCTTTTCCAGGAGCCGTTCTTTCTCCTCCTCCTGTCGTCTCTCCTCATCTCTGAGCTCCTGCATCCTCTTCCTTTCTTCACGCTCCTCGAGCTCAGCCTGAAAGTAGAGTTGCTTTTTTAAATAAGAGCAATAACAGAGGAAAACGTGTACTTTAAGCACGTTCATTGAATTGTGTCATGTGATTGTGGAGATTTTGTTGAGCACAGGAACCCAAAATTCTTTACAACTGCCTACATTACACATCCCTCGGAGATGGTGATGCTTCATTACTTTGGATTTGAAATACGCACAGCTTTGGATGAGAAGATATCAATTCGGGGACTGCTCACTTGAGCAATTCATCTTTTAAATGACAATGTGACATCAGACAAGCCTGCTGTGCCAAAATCAACCTTTTTTTTTTTAGACTCATTAATTTGTGATCAGCCCCAGAATTAACGCTTGTGTTTATTTTCTATTGTGGCCAGACCATATGCCAATTGGCTTGGAATGCTTCAATGCTTTATGAAGCTTCATTTCGCCCTCACTTCACAGAGCACATTCAGAGGAACTCGAAAGGTCAATCAAAAATTTTCTAAAAGGGCTGACCGTATGGGGAACTCTGCTCCGAAAAGAGCTGGCAGTGAATTACTTCAAAGATACTAAAAAGAGCAAAAGATATACAACACATGGCAAAGGCTCTCTGAAACGACCCAGGCTAAACATGCTCCTTTCCTTGTATCGAAAGAACTTAGAACAGCCGACTGAAACTTTTAAGTTCAACTGGCACCGATTGTTTGTTTCCTTTTAGCTGGGGCTTTGGCGGCAACATGTGGCATCACAAAAAAGAGCAGAAAAACCCACCCTGCCATAAGTACATTTTCCAGCAAGTAGATCACAACACATTCTACAGTTAAAAAGTGGGTGTGCACTCGATTCTCAGCCTCCCACCTCTCGCTGGGCTTTCTTGGCCTGTTTCTCTTCTAGCTTCCTTTGCTTTTTGGCTCCAATTTTTGCAGTTGGCTGGAAGCTCTGCTCCTCTGTTTCATCATCATCTTCTTCCCCCTGTTGTTGTTGCTGCTGCTGCTGCTGCACTCGTTCTTCTTCTAAAAATCAAAAATGTTTTCCTTCTTATTTGATTAACATTTTTATACATTTTCCCTGATTCCTCAAAGAAAAAAAATGGAGTAATTTTAGGTCAAACTTTTAAAATCAACAACTATGTTGAATTGCAAACCAGTGAGCTCAAATGTCTGTTTACCAAGCTCCGATGCCTCTCTCTGTTGTCTTCTGTTGGCCATCGCCCCTGCGAGATTTCTCCTCCTCCGAGGCATGCCTGCTCCTCGCTCTTCCATGACAGGCCGTTGACGGACACCCGCCGCTCGGACAACAGCTTGCTCATGCTCTGTATCAGCTGTGCAGAGTGGAGACATAAAGATTGAAGTTAAAAAAAAAAACAACCTTGATTCTTAAACCTTTTTGTCATACAATGGTGAATTAGATTTAAATCACATACTAAAACGGATACATTGAGCAAAACAGGTTAAATAAAAATGCTCAACAGTATAAACACTAACTTTGTTGCAATGTTGTTGCATTAAATTGTGTGGATAAAGATGTCCAATAGGGCCTTAAAGAGAATTGTTTGGTGCCGTTAGCAACAAAAATGATTTGTGGTGAACAAGGTGTGTCTGGTCCCAGCCAAAAAAAAAGGCAACAAGCTTCTAGTTTTAACAAATTATTTCTCCTTCAGTGCAATCTGAAAAGTAAGGTGTTTTGATATCATAAAAGTAGCTCCAAGCTATGAAAACGAGTATAGCTTTCAGTTGATATTCATTTTTTACGGTATATTTCAGTCTATACTTGATTAAGTTGACTTAATAACGTACATCTAAGTTTAACATTGCATTGTATTGTATTACACAAGCCTCTCTGTAATTATAGTTCAGTACTGAATCGACATATTGTTGACATTGTTTTGCTGCTGACGTAGCTTCCAAACCAGGCGTGAGTCGTAACTACAACATAAACGATCGATTAAAGCTGCAAAAGACAATCTCGGCGACGACTGTTTGAGCGCGTAGAAGGTATAGCGGCACAAAACGTGAGCCAAATCTCGTGCTGAGTGAGGCTAAGTTAGCTCGTCGGCTAGCTTCGACTTACCTTGCTGCGTCCTTTTCCGCAGCTTCACAGCAAACAGCAGCAGCGCGGCGAGGATAGCAGCAGCTATCAAGTACAAAACGATATCCATGGCCGTTTCACACACACGTTTTCACGTGTTGTAAACTTGTATCACAAATATATGTGCGAGACTGCGTGCATGAGGCTTTTGATACGTCAACAAATGACAGATTTCTTCTTCGCTTGTCATTTTTCCTGCTGCTCATTTAGCACTTTGTAGCTAGTGACTACCCCCTATTGGTTTGGAGTAAGAACAAAGTTTGTGAAAATTTATATATGTGTTTATTTATTTTCATCTACACTAATCCATTTTCGAATCCGCATTTCCTCACAACGGTCGCGGGCGTGGTGGAGGCTATCCCAGATGTTTTTTGGCAGAAGGCGGGGTACACCCTGAACCGGTTGCCAGCCAATAGCAGGGCCCACATAGACAAACAATAGCATTTTTCATCTTTATATACGGATACTCTTTTGGTTAAATCTGACCGGTTTTGACAGTTGACCGAAATAAAAATACACAAAATGTCACTCTTTCAGACGAACAATAGCATTTTTAATCATTATATACGATACTCTTTTGTTTAAATCTGACCGAAATAAAAATACACAAAATGTCACTCTTTCACCCTGAAATTTGATGAGACTTAAACTGCCCCAATGTCATTCTTTTGCACACATGGTACAGTTGACTGACTTACCACCAGACAAACACAGGAAACTGCCTGTGGCCCTTCGTGTCCAAGAGAAAATATCTCATTAAAAAAAGGATTAACAAAGTTTTCCTTGAGTTTTAGTCTTAATTCACACATTTACACGCACCTGGAAATGCTTTATTTATCATGATGGTTTGGGGGTGCTCCCCTCCCTTCTCATGCAATGGACTATTTTATTTTGTTACTGTACATGTGCAGACTTCATTCAGAAAGAGGGTAGCAAAAAATATCTGTTAGCGTATACTTCAATCCAGCCCTCTGTGGAAAAAAACATGAACCAGTTAATTTATTGTAATGTTTGTGGTCACTGTAATCTGTTTTGCCTGGACGTACGCTTCCAACACTATTTGATATACTGTTCATTCGCAATGTCACAGACGCGTTATCTCCACTGTCATCTCCCTGATGCTCCTCGGCATATACAGTCCATAGTGTAAATAAACTTGTTTTGGAAATATACACAAGGGCTTGCAATTGCCATCATACAAGGGGCTAACTTTATGATATTAGTGTGCCCCAATGTATCAGAACAAAGTCTATCAGATCGAACACACTGTCAATGAAAATAAAGACGCATTGTGTTGTGTTGCATTGTATCATTGTCCCAGTTAGTACTACCAGTTTGGTACCTGTACACACTTCTGAAACAGAAAGTTTGTTCAAGTCACCATTAACTATATGTTAATACTAATTAATGGCACAAAAGATGTGGTATATGAAGGGGGGGGGGTGACCTGGTGCCCTTGTACCGATTGTACGACAGATTAAGAACACTGGCACATATTGTCCACATTTGTAAAATCATGTCAAGTCCAGCTCTGAGGAAGAGAGAAAGTGAAAGAAGTCGGTAATCACTTAATCCTCAACTGCAGGAGAAGCTCCTTTGGGTGACACAGTACTTTTCCATCATTGGTGACATCTGGAGGACACGGTCAGCTTTTGAAGAAAGAACTCCCTGCTATGGCTTCTCTTTCTCTCTCTATCTCGCTGTACATTCTGTCTCGTACTGTATGTGCAATTATTTTCTTGCCACTGATAGCACATTTCGCAAGGCATGCTGACAAAAGTCGGTGTGCTTGTGTGTGTGTGTGTGTGTGTGTGTGT